GGCTCGCAGTTAATCATTACATCCCTAGTGAGAAAGCAGCAGTTCAGAAAGAATCTGATTACAGAGATGTGGATGTTTGTTCGGTTCTCCAGTAAAGTCCAGTCACGTCACGTTTATTTATACAGTACTTTATGCAATAGATAGCCTTAAATCAAGCAGCTTTACAGCATTAAACATGAAAAACCACAGTCAGAGTCGCTTTCGGTTAGAATTACTACTTTATTTTCAGTTATAGAGCAGCTCTCCAGTGTGGCGCTAGCTAATGATAAAATCTGTTTATTAGTGGGAAAAAAATTATTTCATTAAAGTGATGGTTTGGTTTGCAGAGATCAAAGCTTGATCTAGCTCAGGACTGTTTTGATTATCATAACCCTATAAGCTATTTTAAGAGAGATTATGTTGTGAATAAAATGGTTTAGTCTCACCTTTATGACTTACAAAACGTTTTCATATAGCTAATCAAATGGTTAATATCTCATCTGTCGTCTCATTTTGTGTGCCAAATATATTTATTTGTATAAATTTATTATAATGACATGATTTTCAAAAGCTGAAGTCATTACCTTTATTTATTAGAATATGCATAACTCAATATTGCAAAAGCTGAATAATCAAATCAAAGTCCATTGATTAATCTGTGAAATAATTGACGATTAGTCAATTAACTGCTTTGATAATTGTTAGATTAATCGATTGTCAAAATAATCGTATGTTGCAGCCCCAGTTGTGAAAATAACACAATCAAGGACCTTTCTACAGTGCGTGTCATTGTAAAGACTGTAAATCCTACATGGCCTCTAACCTGAATAAAGACTATAGTTAGCTGTTGGCAGAACACAAAACTCTAATAAACAAACAAGAACATGGGAAACATGCAGTTTATTTTAGTGGAAACTTCTTAGTATTTAACAATGAAACATATAGTCATTACCTTTATTTATTAGAATATGCATAACTCAATATTGCAAAAGCTGAATAATCAAATCAAAGTCCATTGATTAATCTGTGAAATAATTGACGATTAGTCAATTAACTGCTTTGATAATTGTTAGATTAATCGATTGTCAAAATAATCGTATGTTGCAGCCCCAGTTGTGAAAATAACACAATCAAGGACCTTTCTACAGTGCGTGTCATTGTAAAGACTGTAAATCCTACATGGCCTCTAACCTGAATAAAGACTATAGTTAGCTGTTGGCAGAACACAAAACTCTAATAAACAAGAACATGGGAAACATGCAGTTTATTTTAATGGAAACTTCTTAGTATTTAACAATTAAACATATTCAACATTCCTCTGGCTTTAAAAATCGTTTATTTTCACTAGGGTTGCAAAAAGGTAGTAAATTTCAGAAACATTCCAGGATTTTTTTGGGAATCTTCCGGGAATTTTGGGAAAGTTTCCGGAAATATTCCACCCCTTTTGCAACCCTAATGTTCACTAAGCTTAGAGCAGTGCATTATGGGATTGCGTTCACATGAAGGATGCGTGTGATCCGTGTCTCTCAGTGTTTGTGTCTGAGATCTGTAGCGCCGCCTCTAATTGGGCTGCACGTTTAATTGGTCTATAGTGGTGTATAATGAGATTAGCGCCTCGCCGCTCCGTCAGGGTTCAAGCCCAGCTATTGTTTACACATTAAAACAAGAGCATAATCACGACACGAGGGACAAATGGAGACGACTCCGTACCGCTGTGGTTTTACAACAGGACTTTAACGGTTACTTATTAGAGTCCAAAAGATCTGCCGTAGTTAATATTTATAGCAGATGAGACGAGCCGATCTGGACGCTTGCACAACACATGATAGGAGAAAGCAGCCGGCGAGTGGAGACCGCTCTGATGTGAGGACAGAGTAATGGAGTCTAGGACGGTTCTGAAGAGAATCACGGGTTATTTCTGCTCTGCTGCTGCGTCTCTTTTCATCTTCTCTTGATAAACACCCTCTTTGAGCTCCGTGCAGATCCCAGCTGGAGCTAATGTCCCTCCTACAGTACAGTCCCCTGAGGGAACACTTATCAGTGCGCACTGCGCCGCCACACACAGAAGCACACTGGAATCATCTGCAGTGCTGATGCTTGATGCTTGCACAGCCAATCTCATGAAAACACGGCCGGACCACAATGCACTGCAACAACCGAAAGAAGAAACAAATCATAGTGTGCTCGCCTATTTATAGGACCATGGTGATTTCCCCCCCCCAAATTGCATCATTTCTGGTCTCGCTTTCAAAATTCTCATTACTGTAATACTCCAGAGCCTTTCTCTGCTTTGCTCTTAATGGCGACTCGGATTGCTGTAATGCAAAAAATCCCCACACTGCGCATTACAGTAATAAATCCAAAGATTTTTAAATTAAAATCTTTACAAATGATCAAATTACATTTATTAATTTAGCAGATGTTTTATCCATTTTTTTTGCATCACACAAATTAAAAACAATGGAAAAGGTGTTCACAGTCTGAAATGATTTACGTTGTTCAAAATACAGCTTCGTTCTCTGGGTTTTGGGCTGAAATACGAGCTGGATGTGTTCTTGAGATTCAGCCCAGATTCTGCTTTCAGACTGAAAGTCTGAGTGTGTTTTTTCTGCTGATATTTGAGGATCAGCTCAGATCTAAAGGCCGTCCAGAGAATGAAGACAGAAACATCTGGAGTCCATGTGTGTGAAACAGACGACTAGAGCCGAGAGAGACAATGAGTCACAGAGAAGCCCTCCACCACCCCGTCATGTGCCTCATTTCCTTAAGGACTGAGCCGCTCGCTGCCAACACACACACACACACACTCACTCACACACACACACTTTACTGAGCCGCGTCTCACTGAAAGAACTCGCAGATCTTCTGAGAGTAGAAACTATGATTCCCTCAAACTTACTGACCTGTAACTTCCAGTGAAAGGAGAACAGCAGAATGGAGTGATCAGGCAAGAGAAGGACAAGAAAGTGAACAGATGGTGCAGCTGAAGGAGGAGGAGCTCAGTGAAGGACGGAAAGACGAGATGATTTGTGAACGAGTGTTTCAAAGCTCTCGGCTACTTCATGTGTCTGTTTCTGCCATGAGTAAAAAAAGACTAAGAAAATGAAAAACACATTGCTCAACACACTCAAAAAAATAAAGGTCACTAAAAAGCAAGCACTCTAAAGGGAACAAACTCAACTCAAGTACACTGGAAAACACTGCACTAAAGCAGGGGGAATGTCTTCTACAGCCTGTTTTCCTGACATTTTCATATCTAGCTATTTGCTTAACAACATTAAATTTAACAACAGACATCTGAAGGAAACTCTATCCTTTTCTAGAGAACCGAAAACAGAGCACATTAAAGGGTTAGTTCACCCAAAAACTCAAATTAGCCCATAAATTACTCACCTTCAAGTCATCCTAGGTGTATATGACTTTCTTCTTTCAGACGAAATAAGTTATATTCAAAATTGTCTTTGATCTTTCAAGCCGTTTAATGCCACTCAGCGGGTGTTGCATGCATCAGTCCAAAAGAAGTTAAATAAAAAGCGCCCACCCATAAAATAAAGTGTCTTGTGTGTTGAGGGTGAGTAATTTATGGGCTAATTTTCATTTTTGGGTGAACTAACCCTTTAATGCTGCACTTGTATACTTGCGTAAGCATTCAGTCACTGACCACATCAAAATAAAACCAGAAATAATTTTACGCCAATAGCGTTGACGGACAGACGTAACACTGAATCGTGATTCCTACTCTCGCGTGATCTGGAAGTAGCTTCTACTTTCTTTCAGTATTGTGACTTATTTCCAACTGAAACTGAATATTGAATAGAGGGTGGGGTTTATTTTAGTGCTCCTCCTCTCTCGCGGTTAGAGGGGCGTGGCTAGGGAATACTCCGCCCACACCATCAAGCTGACGTCAAGACAAAATGCCATTCCAGAGCGGAAGCAAATTTTCAGATTTTGATTAAAGATTACCAAAACAAACTTTTTTCCATTAACCTGCACAGATTATTTGTTCACCACATGACTAGCAATGTGCACAAAGTAAACTGCAATAATTTTGATTTCATGTGGACTTTAATTTGAGGCAAACTTTAAAAAAAACACTTTCTTGACTCTATACTAGCTGAGACTCGTGCACTCGCTCTATTGTCTATCGCAATAACCATCACCACCACACCCCGACTTTACTGCTCTGCTCGTGGGGTCAAAGTTCAAAGTTGCCATGGTAACATGTGTGCAATCCCATAAGGGTAATTACTGGAGACATGGGGTAAGTAGAGCACGCTACAACAGCAGAGCGTATCGTGAGCGACCCGACGACATCTGAGCATATTATATACACGCAGCTCAGAGCAAAAGGTAAAAATGCAAAGGCTTATCTGCAAATCTCCAATCAGAGCGCGTGTGTGTGTGTGTGTGTGTGTGTGTATATTACCCCCCCCCC